GTGGACATGACAGTAAGGGCCCAGACCTCGAGAGACTGGAAGCTTCTATGTCCTGCGTGTTTTTTACATTCCCATTCCCTCACCCCGTTCCCCTTTGGCGTCCATCAGCTTGTCCTCTATATCTGTGGGTCTGTTTCTGTTTTGTTTAGTCATTTGTGTGTGGTGGTTGTTTTTAGATTCCACATATAAGTGAAATCATACAGTATTTGTGTCTTTCTCTGACTTATTTCACTTGGCATACTACCCTCTGGGCCCATCCATGTGGTCATCAATGGTAAGATTTCATACTACGTTATGGCTGAGTAATATTCCATGGTGTATATATACCACATCTTCTGTATCCTTTCGTCTTATCGATGGACACCTAGGCTGCTTCCATATCTTGGCTACTGTAAATAATGCTGGCAATGAACATAGGAGAGGGGTGCATATATCTTTTCGAATTAGTGCTTTTGTTTTCTTGGGAGAAATACCCAGAAGTGGAATTGCTGGATCACATGGCACCTGTATTTTTAACTTTTTTGAGGAATCGCCATACTGTTTTCTTCATAGTGGCTGCATCAGTATACAATCCCATCAGCAGTGTACTAGGGTTCCCTTTTCTCCTCACCATCGCTTATTTGTTGACTTATTGATGATAGCCATTCTGACAGGTGTGAGGTGATTGGTATCTCATTGTGGTTTTAATGTGCATTTCCCTGATAATTAGTGATGGTGACGATCTTTTTGTAGGTCTATTGGCTAGCTCTACATCCTCTTTGGAGAAATGTCTATTCAGGTCCTCTGCCCAGTTTTTAATTGGATTGTGTGGGGTTTTTTGGTGTTAAGTTGTATGAGTTCTTTATCTATTTTGGATATGAACCCTTTATTGAATGTATTTCTTGCAAATATTCTCCAGTTTAGTAGGTTGTCTTTTCGCTGTGTGGATGCGTTCCTTTTCTGTTCAAAAACTTTTAGTTTGACATAAAGCTATTTGTGTACTTTTTCTGTTGTTGTTGCCCTTGCCCAAGGAGACATCTCCACAAAGATATTGCTAAAGGAGACGTCAGCGCTTACTGCCTGTGTTTTCTTCTAGGAGTTTCATGTCTTACGTTTAAGTCTTTAACCCATTTTTAGTTTATTTTTGCATCTAGTGTAAGAAAGTGGTTCACTTTCATTTTTTGCATGTATCTGCCCAGTTTTCCCAGCACCACTTATCGAAGAGACTGTCTTTACTCCATTGTATATCCTTGCCTCCTTTGTCATAGATTAATTGACCATATAAATGAGGATTTATTTCTGGGCTCTCTATTCTATTTCATAATATATCTGTTTTTATGCAAGTTTCATGCTGGGGGTTTTTGTTGTTGTTGTTTTAAATATATTTTTATTGATTTCTGAGAGGGAGAGAGAGAGAGAAACATCAATGATGAAAGTCATTGATAGGCTGCCTCCTGCACACCCCCTACCAGGGACCTAGCCCGCAACCCAGGCATGTGCCCTTGACCGGAATCAAATCTGGGACCCCTCAGTCCACAGGCCAACGCTCTATCCACTGAGCCAAACTGGCTAGGGCCCATGCTGTTTTTTATTATTCAATTAATTGTGGTGACATTGGTTAATAAAATTATACAGGTTTTAGGTATACAGCTCTCCAGTACATCATCTGAATGTTGCTTATCACCCCAAGGTACCATGCTGTTGTGATTATTGTAGCTATGTAATATAGTTTGATATGAGGGCATGTGATACCTTCCATTTTGTTCTTTTTCAAGATTTCTTTAGCTATTTGGGGTCTTTTGTGGTTTCATATGAATTTTAGGATTAGTTCTAATTCTGAGAAGAATGCCATTGGTATTTTAATAGGGATGGCATTGAATCTGTATATTGATTGCTTTAGGTAATGAGGACATTTCAACAATAATAATGATTCTAAACCACAAACAAAACAGATCCTTCCATTTATTTCTATCTTCTTTAGTTTCTTTCTTCAATGTCTTACTATTTTCAGAGTACAGGTCTTTCACCTCTCTGGTTAAATTTATTCCTAGGTATTTTGTGCTTTCTGATACAATTGTAAATAGGATGGTTTTCTTAATTTCTCCTTTTGATAATTTATCATTGGTGTATAGAAATGCAACAAATACTGATCTGCATATTGATTTGGTATCCTGCAACTTTACTGAATTCATTTATTCTAACAGTTTTTTGGTGGTCTTTAGTGTTTTTATATGTGGTATCATGTTATCTGCAAATAATTAGTGTTTTGCTTCTTCCTTTCTGATTTAAATGCCTTTTATTTCTTTTTCTTGTTCGATTGTTGTGGCTAGGACTTCCAATACCGTGGTGAACAGAAGAGGAGATAGTAGGCATCCTGGTCTTATTCCTGATCTTAGAGGAAGAGTTTTCAGC